CACTAAGCCATCTATCCCAGTGACCTTCCCTCAAATTCATTTAATAAAATATTCAATAGTTTTTAATGTTACCTTGAAATTTTTAATCATTTCAAACTAAATAATGTTAACTACTTTTTCTTCATGTATTATATAACCAATAAAGATTTGATAGTTGGCTTAATAGTAAGTTAAATAATAAATTAAATTCAGAATATTCTACAATTCTGAAAGTGTCTACAGAGCAGATGATGTTTACTCTACTAAATCACTGAGGCTCTTCAGTGAATTTTAAAGTAACTGTCTTTAGTAAACATGAGTTCAGATTACTGGAGTTCAATGATGGGTATGAGAATGTTGTAACTAGGACCCAAGAGAAGAACCAGATACTGACTTGAAAAGCTTTCCTAGAGAGAAAAGATTCTATGGTCTCAACTTCCAGCCACAAATTCCACCTAGTCTGTAAGGACAGTCTCTAACTCTCTCTCTATTCATTACCTGATATTTTTGATATATTCCTTCTCAACCCCAGAATTATTTGCAGTATCATGAGATCATTGATAAAACATCCTATTAAATTGAGAAACACATAAAAGGAACAAATTTTTAAAAGTGTTTCCATGCTTTCTGTTTTAATTTGAGCTGATTTGGGAGAAAAGTCATTACGAGTATATTCTGAACTACAATATTGTCCTGTATTCAAAGAGCATTTAAATGGCACTGATTTATTCTAATTGAAATATGATGGTACAGTTCCAGAGTCCTAATTTACTCTGTATCTCTGTGTAACTTATAGTTAAGCTAACTTAACTATGCAAACTCATGATGACTGTTGTCAAGTCAGTGAATGATTTCTGCATAGCCAGGTGGTATGTGATTATTCAGTGGCTGGTTCCTTTAATAGACATAGTTATGAAAATTAAGATTAATACTTGAGTTTTTAGCATCTTTTTCTTAGGTGTACAGTTTATAATTTAAATTAGTTATCACCTTAGATCAAGATTTTCAAAATTAAAAATTAAATTAGTTCTAGAAGAGCATTTTGCTCGGTTTTGACTAGAAAAATTGTCTTCACATTGTGGAGGGATTATTTTCTCATCTATAAAGAATGCATTTACTTGGAATCTTTTGACTACATAAAATGAAACTTTAAAGATTCAGCAAAGCAATTTATACACACACACACACACACACAATTTTGTTCTCTTGTGTTTGTTGTTCAAATAATCTGGTGAACCAGTAAAATATGTGAGAGGATTTTCACACACCTTTCACCTGCTTCCAAGTAAGAGATAAATTTGAAAAGTAAAGAAGGATGAATCCCAAACTAAAAGTTAAGATGTTATGTAGACTGTCATGACAAAGCTTCGCATAGTGCACTGTTCCAGTCAGTACATTTTTATGAGTCTGGCAGTTCTGCTGAAATAATCAACTGCTTCTTTAGATAAAATAGATAGGAATACTTTCCAAAGGTAATTTGGACTAATGATGTGCATGATTTTTAACTTTTCCATGGAAAAAATTGCTAAAATGCCAAAAGATCCTAAAGAACTGACATAGCATTTCTACATTATGCTGATATGAAAATTGGCCAATTTATTTGTAGATTTGTAGGGCTTAGGATGGGGACATGGGACACAGCCATATGACCTTTGTTTGCCTTTGTGAACATGCTTATTGATGTCGAAAACATTTCCAATGCCTATTATAGTCTAGATTTGCTTTGGGAAATGTTTAACTGAATAATCCAAAAACTGTATTTATCAGGTTGAAAAATAATATACATACATATAAAATGAACAAGTTTAGGTCCATTTGATTTTTATTTATGAAAAATTTTTAAACTGAAATACAATTATCACTTCTGCCGTTCCTTTCTTCCCTCCAACCCATGTGAATCCCCTACTTACAACTCTTTCTAAACCTCCAACTCCATTTCAAATTGACATTTTCTTCTGTTTATTTTTATTCCATACATACAAATTCATGATATTGAATACAACTTTATGATTTCTTTTAGTGGGAACCAGATTTTGTCAATTTTGTAACTGACAACACTTAAATGGGTAACCAATTAGAGGTTCATCTCTGGGAGGAGCTAATTCACCCTATTTCAGTCATCATTAGTTCTTCACCTCTGTGTGGGACACAGTGAGATCCCTCACTTCTGTGTTAGCATATTGATATTTTCATTGTTCAAATTCTGCTTAGGAAGCAGTATTGTTGAGGCATTATGGTTAGGTTGTCATATTGTTGAAGTATTATGGTGGTGACTTCCTTGTTATTATTAGGAAACACTATCTTATAGCAGACTTCCTGTCTTCTGGCTTTTACAATCTTTCTGTCCTTTCTTCAACAATGTTCTCTGAACCTGAGGTGCAGGAGTTTTGTTGTAGATATATTCATTGTGGGTGGGCTCACCCCATTCTATTTATCTTTGCAGTGTTATAAACATATCAGGGCCATTTGAGGAACTAAAGGACACTTAGAGTGCTTCTCTATGATATAGTAAGTCCGCTTATTGCTGTTTTGAGTTATACATATGACAAAAGTACAAGGGAAATGTGTTTGGAGATTTAAAATACATTTACACAGGTTCATTTTCATCCTCTCAAATAGGAAAGAACACAAAAATCAATGTCTACATTCTATAATTCCATTAGTGGTGCAGACAACACACTATCACTTAATTCTAAATCACCCTAAATTGAAAAATGCTTTTGATGTTACTCAGAGCAGAGAAATGATGCCAATGAAAAAGAAAAAGCAAAGTCTGGAGGAAGCAGCAGTCATGTCCATGAATTAAGAGTCATGCTCCTTATAGAGTAGCCATAACTACCATACATGTGTAGTTATCCCCAACAGTATCTGTGTGGCAGAGAAACATATCCCAGGAGATGGAAATAACATCTAGTACCTAAAATGATCTCTGTGTGTAGAAACAAAGAAGGAAAGAATAAACCTAAGACTCTTGCAAATTAACATACACTGTCAAGTTTTCACTCTTACAAAAAACATACCATTTACTTAAATGGAATAGGGCAGGAAGGACTTTGCACTGTAGTTAGGGTATATTCAAGACTGAACTTCTTATTTTGGGAGATGTGATTTGGCCTCTTGAGCCAGGTTTGGACAGTCTGTGGATTCCACAGACTTTCTCCCTATGCCAGGTGTGGGCAGTCTATGTTTTCAGCCTGGAGGAAACTTATATTGTTTTAATTGTTGTAATTGTTCTCTTGTCAAGGTCCTGGAAATTTCTGCCTTTCTTTTGTGCCCCAGAGTGTTAAGCAGCTGGTTCTGCAGCTGTAAACAAGACTGGGGTTCCTCTTCCTGTAGGGCAGACATACATCTTGCTATAGGGCTACATAAAGAAAGTGATTTTTTGTTTTGTTTTTCTTTTCTTTTATTGCCCAACTGTTTTTTACTTTTTTATTTTTAGAAACACTATCATTTGCATATCCATCCCTCCATTCCCTGGACCTCCCATCTTTCCATGTTTTCCACCAATCCCCCCAACCCACCCAACACCCACTCCCCAGGGATAGTGAGACCCTCCATGGGGGATCATCAATGTCTATCACATCATTTGGGGAAGAGCCCAGTCCCTCCTTTCTGTATTGGGACTACCATAGTATCCCTCCATAGGGAAAGGGCTCCCAAAGTCCATTTGTTACCTAAGAATAAACCCTGGCTCCACTGTTATAGGTTCCATACACTGCCTTGGCCTCCTAGCGGGTACCCACACTCAGAGGGCTTGGTTTGGTCCAATGCTGCATGCTCTCATTAAATCAGGTCAACTGTTTCTTCGGGTATCTCCAGTTCTGTCTTGGTTCATTTGGTCATCTCTCCTCCCTCTCAGCAACTGAATACAGGGAGTATGGCTCATTGCCCAACTTTTTAAGCATACAATTCAAGGAAAGCAGTGCATTCCCCCTCCCTCCCTCCTTTTCTCTCCATCTCTCTCTCTCTCTCTCTCTCTCTCTCTCTCTCTCTCACACACACACACACACAACACACATCTTACCATTTATACTAGCACTTATAATTTATGTTCTTTGAAATATGAGTAAAAATCTGTTTTCTTCATCTCCTAAGAAACATTGCTTCATTTAATATGACCAGAAGTGCTAACAGCAAACTATCTTTTTTCTTTTTTCTTTATTTTATTTTTAATTAATTTATTTTTTACATTCCAACCCAGTTCCCCCTCCCTCCTCTATTCCCACTCCACCCCTCCTCCCATCCGCTCCTCGAAGAGGGTAAGGCCTCACCTAGAAAGTCTACTAAGTGTGTACCATCATCTCCTTGAAGCAGGACCAAGGCATCTCTCTACCTCCACACTCCTAAACATCAAGCAGCCTGTTGCTCTCAGCAGGGAGAGTAGAACCTAAACCAGATGATTCTTGCTTTGATTATCTTGATATAACTTCTTCCCAATCACACTTGAACACACACACACACACACACACATTCTCTCTCTCTCTCTTTCTCTCTCTCTCTCTCCTCATCCCAGGGCATGGACATTCCATATACTTCAGGGTCACATGTAAATTCTGAAAGCTAGCCTAATTCTTCTAAATATGTATCATAACTCAAAGGACTATAGATCATATTTATGAAAGAATAAACACAATTTGAAGTACAGCAAAAGTGCCACAGTACCAATTGCATGATTCTCAAAATACTTAAGCAGATGAAGTTTTGTGTGAATGACCTTTTTCTAAACATGAAGAATATAATATAGTTAGAAGTCAGTCATCGTTTAACTTTACCAGATTGTGTAACTCATATTCCAGTTGTTTATTGCTGAATCGAATCTAATATAATGACATTCACACACTGGGTGGTGATTGGCTCTTAAAAGAAATGGTGAAAATGCTTAGCACTTTCAGAAATATCATGATAATGATTTATTATGCCTGTAATTATTTGTCTTGATTGGTCTTCTTGAGTCCTGTCATGTAGAATATGAAAACAAACAGAAATGGTAAGGCACTAACAGGATTACTCTGCTCTGTTAGATGTGTGGTAGAAGACAAAAACTCTAAAGTGGCCTGGTTGAACCGCTCTGGCATCATCTTCGCTGGACATGACAAGTGGTCTCTGGACCCTCGGGTTGAGCTGGAGAAACGCCATTCGCTGGAATACAGCCTTCGAATCCAGAAGGTGGACGTTTACGATGAGGGATCCTACACATGCTCGGTTCAAACACAGCATGAACCCAAGACCTCCCAAGTTTACTTGATTGTGCAAGGTAAGAGAAGAGTAGAATAAGAGAGTAAACCATGGAGAATGGCTGTGATGGGCAAGACTTTTGATTTTATACTAGATAATTGATTTGAAAAAAGAGTACTAAGAAGATTTGTGTGTTAATTGCTGGTACTGTTTTCTTTTTCTAGCTTTGATTAAGAAAATATCCAGTAAAGCCACAGCTATCTTACCATAAGTATACAAATGTTTAAATTTTTAGGAAGTTCTTTTATTTTTTAAATACTTTGCAGAATTTAAGAAAGTTTTTTTTAAAAAATACTCTCTCCTCACCCTAAAGTTCATTACTGTTTGTTTATGTGCTAGTAAAAGACTTTAGAAAAATAAAAATTCCTAGAAGTCTTTGTACCTCCTCACCTGGTTCCCTTTCCTTGTGGCTTGCATCTTTATTTAATAAGTTACTGTAAGCGAGACTAATGACCAAGTTCTGTCATAGGGGAAAATTTGTTTCTAGATTGGAGTTTCCCTGAGGCAGAACTGGGTTATGGTTTTACAGGATTAAAATTTTCAAATAGAATACATATATGCACTACAAGGTGGCTTCCTTGTGTTCCCCTTCCCCTAAAAACAAAGCTGATTACTTACAAAATTTCACTGCAAGCAAAATCAAACTGCCAGCAGTTTCCATCAATCTATCAAGAAAGAGCTAAGCACTGACAAATATTAGGGCCGTATTCCTATATTCATTATTTATAATTTTATGCAAATTAAACATGGCTTTAGGGTTCCTGTCAGTATCCCAAACGTAGTCAGTGGTGTGGCAAAGTTTGGCTGTAGCTACTATTAATGTTTTAGGGAACTGGTTATTGAAGCTTTTAAAATATTGCTTTCCCAGATCTTCCCAATAGTAAACTGAATCTACATGGTACAAGGGTGCTTCAGTCTTGTGACTTCCATGGTGGTTCATCTGCAATGGCTGACAGCTTCAACTTATTCCTCAACAAAAGGCATTTCTATGGTTAACAAAATTCCAAATATGAGCAAGTTTTCTTACAGATTAGGGGAGAGCACTTGAGCCAGACAAGATATAGTAGGATTGGGAACTCAGAAAGCTGACTTGATGTATAAATATATCTATGTCAACTTGTTACTTTGCTAACTCCTATAAAGTACAAAAAATGCATTAACAGACAGACAAACACACATGCCTTTCTAAATATACAGAATTTCTACTTGACTCAGGGGCATTGGGAAGATAAACTAGTTTATTAATAGTAAAGGATCTTTAGGACAGATTTTACCTAATGGCCAATCACAGTTTTACCTACATATTTCTGTATAATGTATAATTCTTCAAAAAATGCTTGATTGTAACATTATTATACAATTTGTGTATTGTGTATAGTTCCCAAAAAATATGGTTGACAATCTGAGCCTTAGAGGCTTGGTTTCAAACTGAAGAATCAGAATCACTCAGGGCAAGTTACTTGTTCAAGGTCACCAGAGAGGTTGTGAAGTAGGTGAGTGACAAGCAACTACTGGGAACATTTCCATCAGGCAAAAATATTTTTGTCGTGACCTCAAGAATAACTATTTTAAAGATTTATATCTAAGCCTAAGCCCTTATCATCAAATCTTCAAAGTTCTGTTCTGTGACCCATTTGTCTGTGTTCTCTTAAATTAAAATCACAAAAGCACATTTTTAGAATCAGAACTCACTGCAAATGAAATTAAGTTTGATTTAGTATTAAGAAACAGAAAAGAGCCTGTTAATGGACAAGTACTGTTTAATTATTGTCTCATGTAATTTGAATATTACCAGTAAGTAGACATGAATAACTTTATTAGGAGCAAAAGCTTAAATTCAATGTCAACAACAAACCTACACAAGGCTTCCTGTTCATTATAATAGGGTTTGAACCACATTTATGTTTGTTCCCAGTATTATCATATTTCCATCCATCTTAACCACATTGCCTTGAAAGAGGAGAGAAGAAACAGTAGGGGACATTGTGGGGAGTTGTTTCTTCCTTGAATCATAGAGAAGGGTTTCTAGAGGATTCTGGTAGCATCCTTTACATTGTTTCCTACAGTTATAGAGATAATTGAGTGAATGCAGCTCGTGCCATTAATACTTAGATGACTTACTAAAGTTTAGGTTGGTTAACCACACCCCCAGCATTTCTGGCTTGACATATCTGGGTATGATAGATAGACAGATAGATAGATGGCTTCCAGTAAGAATAATATATAGAAAATAAGGCATTATAAACATTAGCACATATATAAAGTTGAATGTTTTAAAGAGTAGACCAGTCTGTAAAAATTAATTTAGAATTCACCAGGTGGTGCCCAGGCTCCCAGTGTTTTCCAGCAACATAGAGAGCAAGTGCACTCCTCCCAAATTATATAAGAATATGTGGAAGGAGGGAATGATGCTGCGTGGATTCAACTAATTTCAGAAGACTGTGTCTACAGATATTCCAAAGATTTATCTTGGACATGAAATAGTCAAATCAATGCTGAGTTATGTAGGATATTGAAGGTTATCTATATACAACACCCTAGGGAGATAGCCTGTCTTCACAAACTATCTGTTTTATGTATCAAAACAACAATTATGATACACTGGTCTACTCTTTAAAACATTCAACTTTATATATGTGCTAATGTTTATAATGCCTTATTTTCTCTATATTATTCTTACTGGAAGCCATCTATCTATCTGTCTATCTATCTATCTATCTTCTATTAGATTTTTACACACTCCCAGTATACTAGTGGTTTTTCAACATCCTCAGCATGTTCTCTTAATTTGTTCATTATTTCTCACAGAAAAGTTGATAAGCTTAAGAAGATCATTATATATAAAATGTACTGTGTTAAAAAAGTATTCTATGTGGTTCAATAAACTATCTTTGTCTAAATGACAGCTACACAGAGCTTCCTTTTGTGGCATACAGGATGAAGTCCTGCCTCAGCAAAGGCCTAACTCAGCATTGACCTTTGAAGTCACTTGTGATTATTTGCTAATATATATTCTTTCTTGGGATGCAAGGTTACCCAAATTTAAATGTTCATTTTGTTTAATAAATGCAAGAACCCCTATGTAGAACCTAATATTTGGTTCTGTGCCTGATCCTTTATAGAGCCCAAGATCAGAGATTAAGAACACACAATTTTAATATCAATAAAATAAGGAGGTAAATATTAATAAAATCCTTTCTGCTACTATTGTACATATTTCTTCTCTGAAGGTTACTCTCTGTTGTTTCTTGGTCTTATGAACATGCTGCCAATGGAAGTACATGTGCTAAGGCAACATAATTCATCTCTAGTTATGACTATTGCATAATTTGCAGTAATCTCAACCCTTTAGCTTATTACATTTGTCAAAGTGCTCTTTTTTGCTTGTTCAAGACTAAAAGGTTGTTGTTTTAATTTTTATTATTATTTTAATTTTAAATAGCTTGCTTCACATGCCAATCCCAGTTCCCTCTCCTGCCCCTCCTCCTGCACCCCCCACCATCCCCCCCAGACTCCCACCCTATCGCCACTTCCTTCCACAAAGGGGATATCTAGAGTCTGTCATTTCACTCAGGGCAGGGTCCAGACACGCTGAGGGTCTGGCTGAGAGAGCATCTTTTTTTGTGTTATGGACATACGAAGTCTGTTTGTATGCCAGGGATAAACACTGATCCACTGCCCAGGGCCCCCTAGGTTGCCCAGGCCTCCTCACTGACTCTCACATTCAGAGGGTCTGGATCAGTCCCATGATGGCCTGTCAGCTGTCTGTCTGGGGTCCAAGAGCTCTCCCCCTGTTCAGATCAGCTGTCTCTGCTGGTTTTGCCAGCCCATTCTTTGCCAATTTGCTCATCGCTCCTCTCTCTCTGTCACTGGGTTCCTTGGGTTCAGTTCAGTGTTTAACTGTGGGTGTTTGCCTCCGCTTCCATCAGTCACTGCATGAAGGCTCCAGGATGGTTATAGACATCAAGTTTATTATCAGGAATGGGCATTCGATGTGGTCTCTCCACTATTGCTTAGCTTGCCAGTTGGTGTCATTCCTTTAGATCGCTAGAGGTCTCACTGGTGCCAGATCTGACTTCTAACTTATGATTCCCTCTTCCCCTTATTCTACCCCCCCACTCAATCTTCCTGTTCCCCCATGACCTACTCTCTCTTCCTCTTCTCCCCCTCTCTTCTTCACAGCTCCCACTTACCCCCACCCCTCGCCGTGTTCCCAATCTGTTCAGAAGATCTTGCCTCATTCCTCTTCTCTTGGGTACCATGCATATCTCTCTTAGGTTCTTTCCTGTTTCCCAGACTCTGTCAGTGGAAGTGCAGACTGGCACTATCCTCCTGATCCATGTCTAAAATCCATATATGAGTGATTACATACCATATTTGGGTTTTTGTGACAGGGTTACCTCACTCAGGATGGTTTCTTCTAGTGCCATCCATTTACCTGCGAATTTCAAGATTCCATTGTCTTTTTTTCTGCTGAGAAATACCCCATTGTGTAAATGTACCACATTTTCTCTATCCACTCTTCAGTTGAGGGGCATCTAGGTTGCTTTCAGTTTCTGGCTATTACACATAATGCTGCTATGAACATAGTGGAGCAGATGTCCTTGTTGTATGAATGGGCATCTTTTGGATATATGCCTAAGAGTGGAATTGCTGGGTCTTGTGGTAGATCGATTCCCATTTTCCTGAGGAATATCCATACTGGTTTCCATAGTGGCTGTACGAGTTGGCATTCCCACCAGCAGTGGAGTAGTGTTCCCCTCTCTCCACATCCTCTCCAGCATAAATTGTCTTTGGTGTTTTTGATTTTAGCCATTCTGACAGGAGTCAGATGGTATCTCAAAGATGTTTTTATTTGCATTTACCTGATGGCTAAGGATGTTGCCTGAGAGCTACACTCAGAACAGTGGAATCAGAACCCTTGGGGTGGTTCAATGCCTGCATGTTCATTATCATTGCCAGTCATTCAGATGTACACAATTCAAGAACTACTATTGTATGGATCTAACCAATGGTAGG